TTCCTCTCATTGCTGCTTGTTATCCACTTCAAAATAAGATCTCTAACTTTATACATTTATTTTATAACTGTACATTAATGGGCTCGAATGGCAACACACCCCTACAAATGTTACATCAAAACAACCAGCTCAGTGATGGGAGGTGTGCTATTACTTGAACCCCGGATTTATGTACATTACTTGCGTTCCGTCTCTGCTCTGCTGCGCTGCGCAGCGCAGCGCAGCTGTGCGTTTCAAGTCCAGTTTACACCACCTCGGCTCCGGTCCGGTCCGACAGACGTGCAGGAAGCAGATCCCACAATAAATTCAGTGAAAGATGAACTCCAAACAGCTGAAAACAAAATAAAGGCTTTTGGTATCTATGAAACTGTCTCACTGTCGGCTTTCTGAAACTTCTAATTTCAAAATAAAATCCACGTGTAACGTGTGTGTACACTTAGCTTCATGCTACGTTTCCATCTGCTTCCCAAACACAACGATACATTCTGACAGCATTTGTGTAGAAATATATCCGTATATTTATTAATATAGCCGCAATTTCGACATTATTCCAACATATTATTCATATAAACCGAATAGTCTTGTTTTGAAAATACGGATGTTGTGCTCCTTTCTTTTCCTGTTGGTGCGACGTAATCTTTAAAAATTGACTCAGCGCTGATCCGGCATCCGGCAAAAATTGGATCTGTTCTAATTTTGACGTATTTGCTGCAGAGGTCGGACCGAAGCGGAGCGGAGACGGAACGCATGTAGTGTAAATTAGGGGTTAGTGATGTTTCCCTTCACCATGGTGACGTAAATCACAAAAGACTACCGTCAACAATCCTCATAGGAAAACACTGAGCTCAGCTCCCAACTGACGTTAACTGGCACACTCTGAGAGCTGTCTGTTCTTCCTACAGCCACAATTTTCATGACACACAGACAAATTATATATCAAAATGTAGGTTTTTTTTGTCTTTTTTCAGTCAATATTTCAGATTTTGCTGTAGGACAAATGGTTTTCTCTCAAAGTGGGTCAGACTCAGAGAAGCACCACTTCCCTCTCTAGCTTTCTCTGTAATTTATTTTTTGTCATAACKCAGTTCGGAAGCAAAACAACAATTTTTAACTTGTCATATCTCTGAGAAGATGTGTACAAATGYGAAAATTTCTACGAGTAAGAACCAATCTYTTCTGTCRCCCACGGTTCAAGAATTATTAGAATATACCGTATAGTTTTCACACAGCAGCCCTTTGTTTTACTATCATGTTGATAGTAAAGTGCAGCAGATACTTTCTGCCCCTCCCTGTAATGACATCACAATCAGGCCTTCCGATTGGYTGAGGCTGTTGCTGGGCGGAGTAGCCTCTGAGTGACAGAACAGAGCTTTACGAAACCCAACATGGCTCCCACATTGATCAGCAGTTTTAAAACAAACAAAGCTAAAATTTGGTGGGTTGGTAGCTGRGAGCTAACCCAACACATTCTGAATGTTAATCACAAGTTTAAGCTAACCGCTAATGCTAATTTTAMATAAAAGCTCTACTTTAGCCACCTACAAAGCTGGTTTGAAACCGCAGTAACTCGGCCACTTTAAAATATTTTGAGCTAATATTTGGTGTACTGTTAAGAATGATCTCAAACATACTGAAGCCAAATTAAAAATCCAAGATGGCCACCGTAGCTAAAAGCATTATTGACCATAACTCAGTGATTTTTAGACATATTTTTCTCAAAGTTGGGATGGTAGTAGATCACAGTGACCTCCAACAAACAGCCAATTCAAATCTTTATTTAAATTGGACGGCACGTGGTGAGCTCTTTCATAGTTTCTCCAGGAACTATTCTAGTTTATCTCCGTCTTGTGATGCCTGTCAGTGTGTGTAATATGTGTTTCACAGTCTGTGTCAGTGTGTGTGTATAATATAATGTGTTTTACAGTGTGTCAGTGCACAGTTGTATCTCCTGGTTGATAACGGAGGTTTTTATCAGTTTTCCTGCAGCAGTCTGACAGACTCACTGCTGTCCTCCTTTCTGTCCCTCGAGTTGTTTGATGGCTTTTTCTTTCTGAGCCAAAAGTATTTTAAACCCATTTTCATCTCTGGAAATGTGCCCAGGTATAATGTGACAAAAGAGCAGACCACTTCTCTGCCAAAAAAGAAAAAATCTGTTCATTTATTTATTTTAGCAGATTTCTGCCTGTAGGAAAAGAAATCATTAAAGAGTAAAATGTGAAATGTGAAAATGATGAAAGTTTTCTTTTTTCATTTTAACTCAAGCAAATATTCTGCTTCTGAAGAAAATCTGTGTAAAAATGTATAAATTTTGTTTTGACAACTAAAGATTTACTGAATCTAAATCTTTGTTTTCATGTTTTTATTTAGTGATGTTTCTGTTATTAAACTGTCTCCACTGGAACCGTCTGTCTGTCTGTCTGTCCTCCATCCATCTATCATTCATCCATCCATCCAACATTCATCCATCCGTCCATCCATCAATCCAACATTCATCCATCATCCGTCCATCCATCCATCCATCCATCCATCCATCCATCCAACATTCATCCATCCATCCATCCATCAATCCAACAGTCATCCATCATCCGTCCATCCATCCGTCCATCCATCCATCCATCAATCCAACATTCATCCATCCAGACATCCGTCCATCCATCATCCATCCATCTGTCTATCCATCTGTCTATCCATCCATTCATCCATCAATCCAACATTCATCCATCCATCCATCCATCCATCCATCTGTCCATCCATCTGTCCATCCATCCATTCATCCATCCATCAATCCAACATTCATCCATCCGTCCATCCATCCATCCATCCATCCATCAATCCAACATTCATCCATCTGTCCATCCATCCATCCATCCATCCGTCCATCCATCTATCCATCCATTCATCTATCCATCCATCAATCCAACATTCATCCATCCATCCATCCATCCATCCATCTGTCCATCCATCTGTCCATCCATCCATTCATCCATCCATCAATCCAACATTCATCCATCCGTCCATCCATCCATCCATCCATCCATCAATCCAACATTCATCCATCTGTCCATCCATCCATCCATCCATCCGTCCATCCATCTATCCATCCATTCATCTATCCATCCATCAATCCAACATTCATCCATCCATCCATCCATCCATCCATCAATCCAACATTCATCCATCTGTCCATCCATCCATCCATCCATCCGTCCATCCATCTGTCCATCCATTCATCTATCCATCCATCAATCCAACATTCATCCATCCATCCATCCAT